TCTGTCAGTCAAATGCAGGATGCTGTGACTCACTTGGAAAGATGGGCTGTGCAGCCGAATAAAATGGAGCTGAATGCTAAAAAGACCAAAGATATGTGGATCACCTTCAAAAAGTCCTGTCAAATTCCTGCTCCTATTAATATCGGGCCTACTGAACTGGAGAGTGTTTCAGAGTTTAACCTACTGGGTGTACATGTACAGAAAGATCTCAAGTGGAATACACGTCTCGAGTATTGTCAGCAAAGCGTGTAAACGGATCCACTATCTTAGGGTCTGTAGAACAGCCCGTCTCCCCAGGGACATTGGTCTTACAACTTACATCACTAAGATTAGACCTGTTTTAGAATATGCCTCGCCTGTCTGGGGAGGCCTGCCCATTTACCTCGAAGAAGATCTATCGGAGAGTGCAGAATAGATGTCTAAATGTCATTGGTCTCCCTAGGGATTCTGTTGAGTCACTTGTAACTAGGCGTCAGAATTTGACGAGGAAAGAATTTAAACGTATCCTAGAATCTGAAGCACATCCTTGTAAACGTTTTTTAGAAAAGCCAGTGGATCATGGCCATAATCTAAGATCTTGTAAGACTAACCCAGCGCACCTCAGAATACCTGTATCACGCACTGTTAGGCACAAACAATCATTTGTTCCTAGGGGTGCTAAACTTAACTTGATTTGATATGTATATATAATATGTAGTGTTTTGAATTTTTATTGTAATATTACCGTAATTCTTATCGCCAAAGGTAACAAATAAAGGTAATTATTAATTCCCGGTTTATGGATTTTAGGTAAGCCATAAAAACGTGGACATAAGCCGTAACTACTGTATAACATTTTGTACGTATAGTAGCTAATCTTACAAGCTTTTTTCGAATCAAGCAAAATTTTTTTAAACTTTCCTTTGAGTTTTACTGATGAAGGCACTAGACAGGAGTGTCGAAACGTTGGGCCTATGAATTGTAACTTCTCGGTGTTACATTCATTTAATCTTTAAACCAGAATAGCATCAAACCATGTCAGATATTAAAATAATCGAAATTTATTTTGACATAACAAATTGGGCCAATATAATCAACGATAGGTGCTGGAACCTCGGTTATAACCTATCCTTATATGACTTCTCGCCATGCATAATCTGATTGGCCCTTGTCGAGAGGAGTACAAACAACGGTATTTATGTCAACGTGTAACACAATGCCTTTATCATTGAAAGAATCGTTGCAGTGTTTGGCCTCGATATTGTGGTACAAAAAAAAAAATAAAACAAAACAACAACAAAAAACAAAAACGACAACGACAACAAAATCGAAAGTGGTTAAACGTGGTCTGTACTCTCATCGACAACGATATTCGCCATCAAAATGTTGTGGACTCACGAAGCGCAGTGTTGAGGTAAGTGGCGGTCAAAAGGGCGGGATAGACGGCTCTATATTTCTTACACCATGCAGACGAAATCACAAGCGCACTCTCCCCGACGCTTCTCCGGGGTAACCACACCTTTGACTCATCAAACCACATTGTGCTTACCAATGATATATAGTGACTGGGTGTGGCCCCCCAGCCATTAGTTTCCAGTGTTTTCGCCCATCTTGTCATTCTTTTTGTCCTCCATTAATCCTATATTTTTATTTTGAGGGTCTGTCTGCAAGCTGCCACTGTGTTATCCATGATGCCTGATACTTATGAAAAAACCAGTTTTACTAAAGCATCCCTAGCAACTATAAAATCCTCTTCCGTTCTACAATTTTAAGAGAAATTGTAATTTCCCTGGTGAACGATGGCGCGGAATTGCTACTTTTATACACACCTGTATTAAAACTGGTCCTCAGAACAATTTTCAATTGGGTGTTGAAAAAAGTCCTGGATTATGAAAAAAAAAACAGACAATCAGTTACTAACAATGTCCATACGTTGAAACATTAAAAAAAAACAAACAAACAAACAAAACAAAAACAAAAACAAAAAAACAAAAAATCTTTTCGAATTTAGTTCAACGGTAAACCACATACTAAAGATCAGTAAAGTTAAAAATATCATTTACAGATGTGACTTAAGTTATTTCAAGCGCCCATAAAATTTCATTCGTGTGTATTCATTCAAGTGAACATCAGCTTTCTGCTCATAGGATAAAACAGCAAGGATTCTGAACTTTTTGCCCTCAACTGGGGAAACACGATGCATTGAGTTTTGCCCACAAAATATCACTAGTGTTCCTGGCTGCAGGTCAGCATCTTTCACCCCCAGAGCTGTCAGATCTTGTCCAGCCTTAGTTGCCAATAGCACTTCCCTGACTAGGTCATGGCTTTCACTTCCATCAGATCTATTTTTAACAAAGTAATAGTTTGAATTTCATTAATCATTTGAAGTTGAAGAAGGGTGAGCTGTTTTTGTTTGTTTGTTTGTTTGTTTGTTTGTTTTTTCTGTCAGCTCATTTGATTAACATACTTCCTGGCCTGATTATTAATTTTCTCCTCTAGCTGTCAAACACTGCCTTGAAATTAGTTATGAGAATTTGGTGAGAGATCAGGATAACAACTTCTACCAATTAGTTTGAGTATTCTCGTTATCTGTTAACTGGTTAAAGTATGGATATTAGAGAGAGAAGTTACCTGTTAACCTTTTAGCTCTCAGATCAAATTTGTAATTCTCCTTACTGTCAACCATACAATTCTTATAATGTTAGTTCAGAGAATTTGGTACTGGATCAACTAATTTTCCCCAAATTGATCTTTTCTTTATTCTCATCACTTATCGGGTTGATATTGTAAAGATATCTTAAAGAGAAATTCTATATCAGTCCCGCACAAGAGTTAACGGGTTAATCACTTCTGGGAGTGGTAGAGTTAAGAAGTACATCTCATTTAGTTCAAATCAGTTATGAGCTTGAAATTTCTATCATGTGATAGCTGATAAGTGCAAACAAAGTCCCAATCAACTACTATGCACAGAAATGGAGGGTAAATAATCCAATTGTTTTAGAAGAAATCTACTAGTCATTTGAAACTTAACAACAAGACAGGCCTGTATTTTTATGTAATTTTTTTTCAACCACATACTGTCAGGGAGCTCAGTCTACTCAGAAGTAAAGAAGTTTTTTTTGTTTTTGTTACCTCTCCTCCTTGGAGGGTATTCTGACTTAATTCACAACACCTGGTGGGGGACTTTAATAAGATAGCCCCAATTTTGGAATCAAGACCAAAACACAACATCAGAGGTTACATTCCCTACCATTTGTGAGAAGCACATGGATTCTTTCATGTCCCCTGTTAACCAGTACAGAGGAGATACAGGAAACAGGGCCTACAGTTTATCATCTTTATCCAAGATGATCAGAATTTATAACCCTTGGCAGATGTCATGGCAGAGGCAGCAGATTCTCCTCAAGTATTTTTTCACTCCCCAAGTGAGTGAAATGTCAAATTATTACCTTCTCCCCTCTCCCCTTGGGTTGATATTTCAAGGTTACTAAAGAAGAGGAGGGTGAGGTCGGACAGTTGTAAAGAAGAGATAAGAAAAGAAGAGGTGAAGAGATAGGAAAAACTTACCTTGTTGATGGAATGTATTGAAAACATCCCCCACCCGCTGGTGCTTGAAGGAGGAGTGTCACAGCGAACTTCCCCCGGTCAAAATGCCAATCCAACTGATCATTTTCTCTGTAGACGTGCACATTTAAGGCTCCAAGGGGATCAGCCGTTCGGTAGAGCACGTCCCTGTGAAGAAGAATTCTAACGAACTCTGTCATCTCCGGTGACATATAAAGCTGATTCAGCGGCGAGTTTGTCTTGATTTGGTCGTGCGCAACGCAACATTTTGAAGATCGACACAAAATGTTCCTCGCGTGATCTTTCTCGAGGACAGAATTTTCCTTGCCTTCCTCAAGATAAACACTGTGGTCAACTGTTCCACGAAACGCTATCGGTAAGGCTTCCTCCGTGTCTAGGATTGATTGACGAATAGCCGAAGGAAGCATAAAACCACGCAACAAGGTGATTCCGTTGTCCTTCAGTTCGCTCCTTGCACGGTTGATGACTTCTTGGAGAATGGGACTCTCAGACTCAGAAATTGGATATCTTGTGTAGTCGATAATATTCCTAATATCACTTGCCATTATGAATTATAGAGATACGTGCTTTTCCGACTAGTGTTTCTGGACAAGTTTGAGTAAATTATCACATGATTTTTCCCTTGGTGGATCTTGCAACGTAAACAAACCCGCTGAACACATACTGCATGCTCGAATATTCGCGTGTTCGAGGGGGTGATAGCGTGGGGCACCTCCACAATTAACATAGAAGGCTTTTGTCTGCGCATTACGTACAATAGGCATTATTTATAAATCTTTTTTAAAATGTATTATTCACTTTAAATTCCACTGTGTTCATTACGGTCAACTCATAAAAATGGACGACTTAAATTTCGTGGCATTATTCTGGCAATGTCACCTCAGGAAACTTAGTAAAAACTTTCACAGAGAGGCACTCAGTTTGTAGTAAAGTTTTCTCATTGACCATCAATTGAGTCATAAGTGCTCATTGTCATTGTTCATGGAATTTTACATATAAAAATATCTTGTTGTTCCTTAGTTCTGGAGTCTAATCTTTCAGGATCCTTATTCAATGGCTTCTTCCCATCAAATTTTATGTAACAATAAATTACTCTAGTTCCTGTGGAGACCTGTGCCAAAGCCCCCCTACCCCACTCATGAATTGAAAGCTTGTTTCTGCTCCCCCCCACACCCCTTGAGAAGTGAGTAAGAAATGTAGGTGCAGAGCAGGAGGGGGAGGAAAGGAGGTTAGGAGTAAGGTAATGAGAGTTTGTTGAGTTGCTATCCTTTTTGAAAGAAAACAAAAAAAAATGCTTCAAATGTCCCAGTTATTATTGTGGCCACATTTTGACACCATCTGTGATCTGTTACTGAATACTCCCACAGCAACATAGAATCCACTTTTCAAATGGATCATTATAAGGACAATAGTTGAAAAAACCTAAGAATTGCCAAAGAAATGTGGGAGAAAGTGATCACTGGACTACAAAATCTTAGCTCTTACTTAGTGTAGAAGACACAGTATATGTCACAATAGAATTTCATCACAACTGGAAATAAGACAACAATGAAAACAATAGTGTGACATATACTGTGTCTTCTACATCAAGTAATAGCCAAAATCTCTATTTACAAGTCCACCTAATTAGTCTGTGGGTATATTTATTTCAAGCGCCCACAGAATTTCATTCTAGTGTATTCATTTAAGTAAACATCAGGTCTCTTTTCGTAAGATAAAACAGTTATGATCCTGGACTTTTTTCCCTCAATAGGGGTGACGCGATGCATCGAGTTATGCCCACAAAAAATCACGAGTGTTCCTGGCTGAAGGTCAGCCTCTTTCATCCCAAGAACAGATAGATCTTTTCCAGCTTTAGAAGCCAGTAGCACTTGCTTGACCAAGTCATAGTTTTCATTACCATCTGATCTATTTGTAAAAGAGAGATAATTTGTTATTTCAATTTTCATTTGCTTCCAGATAGAAATAAATTCAGATTAGCAACACTTAGATGGATTAACCCTTTAACTCCCAAGATCTGATTGTCCCTTTCACTCCCATAGGTGACCAAGACAGAATTTCTCCTTACAACATAAATACAATATCAAGCAGGTAGGTGATGAGAATAGAGAAGAATATGAATTATGGGATTATTAGTTGATCCAATACCAAATTCTCTGAACTAACATCATAAGAATAGTATGGCAGATAGTAAGGAGAATTACTAATTAGATCTTGGGAGCAAAAGGGTTATTCTCCCCTCTAGCTGCTACACATTTCCTTGCAAATCATAAACTACAGGAATTTGTGTAATATATTTGTTAATTGTTATATTCATTATGTTAAATATAGACATCATTACACAACTAGGGTGTCAACATCTTTAGCACCATGACCAGCAAACATTCATTTCATGCAAGTGCCACTAGATTATGGAACAACCAAGACAGTA